ATCCGGCGTGCACACGACCAGGCAGCTTACGGAGGACAGTTATGGGGTTGCCCGCGTCAGCAGGTCAGGCGGCAGCATGGGCTCTAGAGATGGCAGGGTCACGGGGTTGAGAGGGGAGGGTTCTGTGCAGGAGCGGTCTGGAGGAGAGGGCGGGTAGGGTTGGCATCCTCGCGCGGCTGCCCAGGCATTGGCTGCTCTGTTACCGCCCGCGGTTCATCTGGGCCACCGTCTGGCTGCTGGTGCTGCTCTGTTTCTGGCACGAGATCCCGCAGGTCAGCAGACTCATTCTGACCCTTCCTTCTGCCCAGATCCCCTCGAGCAGAACCACTTCGCGAATTGCATCCGCTAAGGGGCCGTATGCAGCGGATGCGCGGGAGGAGGAAAAGGACGAGGAAAAGGAGGAGGAGGAGGAGGAGGAGGAGGAGGAGGAGGGAGGAGGAGGAGGAGAGGAGGGAGGAGGAGGAGGAGGAGGAGGCAGGATGAGCCCAGCGGGGGCAGGAAGGGCTCAGCGGGTGGCGACCTCGGTGATGCACCTCTCGCCCCGCCCAGGCGAGAGGAGGACGGTGAGGACGAGGACGGGAAGGAGGAGGACGGCCAGACGAGGACGGGAGCGAGGAGGACGAGGAGGACAGGAGCGAGGAGGATGAGGAGGAGGAGGAGGAGGAGGAGGATGAGGAGGACAGGAGCGAGGAGGCGGAGGAGCGAGGAGGAGGAGGAGGAGGAGGAGGAGGAGGAGGAGGAGGAGGAGGAGGAGGAGGAGGAGGAGGAGGAGGAGGGAGGCTCGATGGCACGGGAGCACGGCACGGCACAGCACCGCGCGGCATGCGCCCTCTGCGCGACCGCGACGGCGCCGCACGGCCCGGCCCGGCTCGGCGCCCGCGGAGGCCGCGGGCCGGCGGCTCGGCACGGCGCACGGCACGGCGCGCGGCCGCTGCGGGCGCCGCCGCACCCATGCCTTCTGGATCCGATCGTGCATCGTGCACCGCTTCTCGGAGGAGGAAAAGGTACCCATACCTCCACCCTTAGGTCGGGCCTGTCCCCCTACAGGGGGGTTTTCGACGAAAAATAAACGATACCGCAAACATGCCCCAAAAAGGTCAACACGTATTCAACAAATAGCCCCCAGATTATTATTGACCTATTTTTTGATTATGTTTGGGGTATTTTTCATTTTTTGCCGAAAATCCCCCTGCAGGGGGACAGGCCCGACTTAACTCTACCACCTCGCCCGTTTTCCCCTTTTTGAGCCCCCTGGGCAGCCCTCGCCGCCACCGCTGGATTCGCCTCGAAATCCTGGTCAGAACGCACCCCGGGAGAGGTCCGGGGAGTAGCGGTATCGGTACCTTTTGGTCTCCCCAGTTTCTCATCCAGCGGCGAGGAGACGACACAGTCGCGAAGCGCCAAGCCTGGACACGCTCAGGCGACTGTCCACGTGGCGTATCAGGTGGATGGCTTGGATGGGGGCCGACACTTGCAACGCATGGGCGTCACACACATGCACACATGCACACATTCACACACACACGCACACGCACACGCACACGCACACACACACGCACACGCACACGCACACGCACACGCACACGCACACGCCACACACGCACACATTCACACATTCACACATTCACACACATTCACACATTCACACATTCACACATTCACACATTCACACATTCACACATTCACACACATTCACACATTCACGCATTCACACATTCACACATTCACACATCACACATTCACACATTCACACATTCACACATTCACACATTCACACATTCACACATTCACACATTCACACATTCACACATTCACACATTCACACATTCACACATTCACACATTCACACATTCACACATTCACACATTCACACATTCACACATTCACACATTCACACATTCACACACGCACACACACACACACACACGCACACACACACACCTACACATCCGCACACACACCCACACACACACACACCTACACCCAACTACACCCACACACACACACACACACTCACCCACACACCCACACACCCACACACCCACACACCCACACACCCACCCACACGCACACGCATACGCACACGCACACGCACACTCACACGCACACGCACACGCGCACGCACACTCTCTCACACACAACACACAACATACACACCGCATACAACACACAACACACAGCAGGCACCACACAATTATTCCGACGGAAGGACCCCACATGAGAATCTCTTTAGCTTGCATGGGGGTATCCTCCTGCCCCTTCCCTTCTCCCACCTACTCTTGCCTCCTCGTTCTCCTCCTGTCTGCTCCTCCTCCTGCCTCAACCCCTGCCTCTTCCTCCTCTTCTTGCCTCCTCCACCTCCTCCCCCTCCCCCTCGTTATGCTTCCTCCCCCCCATTCCCCCTGCCCCTCCTGCCTCCTGCCTCCTCCTCCTGCTCTCCCTCTCCCTTCTCCTCCTCCTCCTCCTCCTCATCCCCTGTCCTCCTCCTCTCCCTCTCCCTCATCCGCTTCCTCCTCCTCCTCCTCCTCCTCCTCCTCCTCCTCTCCTCCTCCTCGTTTCCATATTCCTCCCCCCTCCTCCCCCCCCCTCCTCCTCCTCCTCCTCCTCCTCCTCCTGCCTCCTCCTTAGGCCTCCTGCCCCCTCCTGGGGCCTCCTGGGGCCTCTTGGGGCCTCCTGGAGCCTTCTGGGCCTTCCGGGACCTACTGGGGCCTCCTCGGGCATTCCTCCTCCTCCTTTTCCTCCTCGTCCTTCCTCCCCTCAGCCTCTTCCTCTTCCTGCTTTCCTGTCTCGTCCTGCATCATCCCTCCTCCTTTTCCTGGCAATCCTCCTCCTCCTCGTCCTCGTGCGGAACACGACCCAGAGGAAGCGCACGACGTGCGTCCCAGCCGATACGCGCCGGAGGACGACCCAGAGGAAGCGCGCGCCGGAGGATGACCCGGAGGAACCACGTGAGCTGCGGGACCCATAGGAAGGCTCCCGCCTGACGCGTCCTCACAATTCACTCACAGACGAGGGTCCCGCTTGATACTTCTTCCAAATTCAGACCTGAGGAGCCCAAAAGTGACGACAGTTACAGGAATCCGATGACCCGCTCGGATTAGTAACATGATCTGCGGGCCCCATAGGGAGGGGGCTCCCGCCTGAGACTTGCTCGCAATTCACTGACAAACGAGGCTCCCGCTGACACTTCTTCCAAATTCAGACCTGAGGAGCCCAAAAGTGACGACAGTTACAGGAATCCGATGACCCGCTTGGATTAATAACATGATCTGCGGGCCCCATAGGGAGGGGGCTCCCGCTTGAGACTTCCTCACAATTCACTCACAGACGAGGTTCCCGCTTGATACTTCCTCCAAATTCAGACCTGAGGAGCCCAAAAGTGACGACAGTTACAGGAATCCGATGACCCGCTCGGATTAGTAACATGATCTGCGGGCCCCATAGGGAGGGGGCTCCCGCCTGAGACTTCCTCACAATTCACTCACAGACGAGGCTCCCGCTTGATACTTCCTCCAAATTCAGACCTGAGGAGCCCAAAAGTGACGACAGTTACAGGAATCCGATGACCCGCTCGGATTAGTAACATGATCTGCGGGCCCCATAGGGAGGGGGCTCCCGCCTGAGACTTCCTCACAATTCACTCACAGACGAGGGTCCCGCTTGATACTTCTTCCAAATTCAGACCTGAGGAGCCCAAAAGTGACGACAGTTACAGAATCCGATGACCCGCTCGGATTAGTAACATGATCTGCGGGCCCCATCGGGAGGGGGCTCCCGCCTGACGCGTCCTCACAATTCACTCACAGACGAGGGTCCCGCTTGACACTTCTTCCAAATTCAGACCTGAGGAGCCCAAAAGTGACGACAGTTACAGGAATCCGATGACCCGCTCGGATTATTAACATGATCTGCGGGCCCCATAGGGAGGGGGCTCCCGCCTGAGACTTGCTCGCAATTCACTGACAAACGAGGCTCCCGCCTGATATTTCCTCCAAATTCAGACCTGAGGAGCCTAAAAGTGACGACAATTAAAGGAATCCGATGACCCGCTCGGATTAATAACATGATCTGCGTGCCCCATAGGGAGGGGGCTCCCGCCTGAGACTTCCTCGCAATTCACTCACAGACGAGGCTCCCGCTTGATACTTCCTCTAAATTCAGACCTGAGGAGCCCAAAAGTGATGACAGTTACAGGAATCCGATGACCCGCTCGGATTAGTAACATGATCTGCGGGCCCCCTAGGGAGGGGGCTCCCGCCTGAGACTTCCTCACAATTCACTCACAGACGAGGCTCCCTCTTGGTGGATGATGGTGATGGGATGATGACGACGGTGTTTGATGATGATATATGATTGATGATGATGATGATGATGATGGTGGTGGTGGTGATGATGACGACGTGATGATGATGATGGTGGTGATGATGCGTGCTGATGGTGAGTGATCGTGCGGTTATGATGGTAAATGGTGGTGATCTTGACGGGGACGAAGTGGTGAGTCAGCGAGTAGTGATGATGATGATGATGATGATGAGGAGGATGATGATGATGATCTTTCGATGCCGATGATGGTGAGTGATCGTGCGATGGTGATGGTGATGCTGATGGTGATGATGATGATGATGATGAGTGGGGAGTGATGGTGATGATGATGCGGAGGAGGAAGCAACGAGGAGCAGAGGAGAGGGAGGAGGACGAGAGATCCTGCGCGGAGGGTGTGCAGAGAAAACAAGAACCCCACTTAGGATGTGGGGAAAACACAACATACAACACACAACACACTACCCTTAACACACAACACACAACACACACCACGCAACACATGCACACAACCCACACCACACAACAGACAACACACACACACCACACAACACAAGACACAACACATAGCACACATCACACACCACACAGCACATAGCACACACCATCCACATCCACATGCACATGCACACACAAACGCAGACACACCCACACACCCACACCCACACACACACATCCACACCCACACACCCACACCCACACACACACACACGCACCCACACACCCACGCCCCCACGCACCCACACGTACAGGCACACGCACACGCACACGCACACGCACAGGCACACGCACACGAACACGCACACCCCCACTCACACACAACATACAACACACAACACACACTGCATAACACACACCACACAACAGACACCACACAACACACAACACACAACACAACACAACACACACAACAGACAACACAACACACACACACAACACATGACAATACAAA